AGCACTATTCTATAGCCACAAGCCACCAGAATATACCACACTTGGGGAGAGCAGCACAAAGAAAGACAGGAGTAGGCACCTCACTGAAAGCAAGGGAATTAGGCAAAGGCTACCCAGTGAACCCTGGGAAGACCCTCTCCTTCCCCCTGCCCTTTAACCTAGCTCCAACATCCATCCCACAAGGCAGAGACTGAAGGCTCCCTTTCCAAGGAAACCGAACCAGAGGACAGTAACATTTGGAGGGGAGCCACTAAAAAAAAAAAACATTAGTCATGACCCTCCAGTGAAAGCAACAACAAGTCCCCCAATACACTCAGCTTCCCATTTTTAGTACTTTATTCATAAAGATGAATAAACAGCCAAGGATCACCAGACATTGGAAGAAGGGTTTCCAGCACGAATGAAAGAGACCAAAAGATACAACAGCAAAGAGGAATGCATAGGGAACAGAAAAAGTGCAGGAAACAAAACTTAATTTTATTTTTTTAATTTTTTAAAAATTTAACTGTAATTTTAAAAATTTAACTGAAATTAAGAGATAAGCAAAGATACTGTATACATAAAACAAGAAAAGGAGGCATTTAAAAAGGAACAACAAAAAAAAAAGGAACAAAGAGGGCTTCCCTGGTGGTGCAGTGGTTGAGAGTCCGCCTGCCGTTGCAGGGGGCGCGGGTTCGTGCCCCAGTCCGGGAAGATCCCACATGCCGCGGAGCACCTGGGCCCGTGAGACATGGCCGCTGAGCCTGCGCGTCCGGAGCCTGTGCTCCGCAAGGGGAGAGGCCACAACAGTGAGAGGCCCGCGTACCGCGGAAAAAAAAAAAAAAAAAAAGGAACAAAGAACAGTAAAGAACATGAAAATATGAAAGAAGTTAAAAATTCAGTAACAAATTGGAAAATTGTCAAACACACTCCCAAAAAGTAGAACAAAAAGATCAAGCCATGACGAGGAGGAAAGATTTTTAAAAATTAGAATATTCAGTACAGGAAGTCCAACATTCAAATAAAGGAATTGGGGGGCTTCCCTGGTGGCTCAGTGGTTAAGAATCCGCCTGCCAATGCAGAGGACACGGGTTCAAGCCCTGGTCCAGGAAGATCCCACATGCCGCAGAGCAACTAAGTCCATGCACCACAACTACTGAGCCTGCGCTCTACAGCCCGCGAGCCACAACTACTGAGCCCACGTGCCACAACTACTGAAGCCCGTGAGCCTAGAGCCTGTACTCTGCAACAAGAGAAGCCACCCCAGTGAGAAGCCCACGCACCGCAATGAAGAGTAGCCCCCGCTCACCTCAATTAGAGAAAGCCCGCGCACAGCAATGAAGACCCAACACAGCCAAAAAATAAATAAATAAAATAAGTTTATTCAAAACAAAAAACAAATGAAAGAACTGGAAAAAGAGAACACAGAGAAAATAACAGAGAACTATCTCAAATACATAATACAAAACCTCCCTATAAATAAAATGAGATCAATCCCCAGATTTCAGGGCTACTTAGTACCCTGTATGATAAATGAAAAAAGGCTACAGCCTTTTTTATAATTGTGCATTACCTGGATGAAAATTAGGAAAATCAAGGATGTAAGGATCCTAAAAGTTTGATGTGGGAATAATGCTTACGAAGGATTAAGAATCCAACTGGGGAATTCCCTGGCGGTCCAGTGGTTAGGACTCCGCACTCTCACTGCCGAGGGCCCGGGTTCAATTCCTGGTTGGGGAACTAAAATCCCACAAGCCACGCGGTGTGTCCCAAAAAAAAAAAAAAAAAAAAATCAAACTGGACTTTAACAGCAACAACAAATACTAGAAGATACTGGATCAATAACTTCAAAATTACTTGCAACCTGGAATGCCAAGCCCAGCCAAACTTATGCTTTAAGTGCGGTGGTAAAATAAAAACATTTCCAGACATGCAAGTTCCAAAAGTCTGCCTCCCAACAAACTACTGGGAAGCTACTGGAGACTGAGTTCCACCACCATGAGTGAATGAACACACAGAGGGGAGCATTAGAGGCAGAGAAGGGGCCAGAATCTCCAGGATGGGAACGTGCACAGGCCCAGAAAACAAGCATCCCGTCTGGGCTGGGGTGCCTGAGGAGCACTGTGGAACCGGCTGGTGAGCTGACAGGATTGAGTGGTAAAAACTTAAATTGAGAAACATTTTACAGAATGAAAGGTGCGGGAACATTATTCCGAGGTTCAAGGGGAATCAGGCCAATGAAAAATAAAGCAATTACTAACTCAAGGGAAGTAAAAAAGTCTGCCCAAGAAAAGAAATCCAATTGTGGTTTACCATCCAGCTCAGCACGGCACAAAAATGACCTGAACAGACTGACAAAGATTCTGATATAGATTTAACCACAACTGTGAGTTACCTAAATGAGAGACAGAGTATGAGAGAACTGAAATTGTCATCTACCATTAGTGGAAGCCAACAGATAACGCCTCAAATTGGTGAATGAAGGCATGACAACACAAGCGTGTTATTTAGAAACATGAGGCAAAGGCTAAGAGTGGATGCTGCCTCTCTTGAAAAGCAGGAGAGGATGGCAGCTTCTTTACTGCCTTTTAGCACTATTTGACTTTCTAAACTCTGTGCACGTGCATGCATTATTTTAAGAAACACAAAACAAGGTTAAAGAAAGAGACACAAAGTAGCCACCCTGCTAGAAAAGCACTGAATTTGCCTGGGAAGGCCCTCCTGCTGAAAGGTAACGTCTTGCTGGGTCAAAAGCCTTAGGTGACCCTGAACATACATTAAACCCCAGGAGCCCCCACTTACTAATCCACAAAACAGGGGATGCATTTCATTACCTCAGCAGTTCTTTTCAGTGTCAAAAAGTGGTGACCTCTTTCTAGGTCAAGGAAAAGAAGAAAAAGTAAATATACAGTCAGATAAATTTCAAGTGTCCACTTTCTGGTTTAATCATCTGGCAACTGGGAAACCCTCACCCAGGAACCATTTTGCCAATTTAGTGGCAACAGATGACCTCATGCCTACCCACTGTCCAGGAGGCCCCTCACCTAACGTGCACCTCCATAATAAACACTTAGGATCACGAATCTAAGCCCAGAGTTTTCATTAGCTTAAAGTGACAGCCACAGACACAGCTCAACAGTCTCTGGAGGCAGACCACCTGCATCCATCTTCTCCACCACAAGCTCCGTAACCTGGGGCCACACTGTGCCTGTTTTCCTCCAGTGCAAATGGGGATATAACAGTACCCACCTCAAAAGATCGCTGTCAGGCTTTAATGAGTGAATTCACGCAGCTAAGGCAGGGCTGGACACAGGTAAGGGCTTAGTAAACAGAAGCTGTCATTGCTGTTGTCTCAGTCAAGCCTTCTATTCAAGGCTGCCTGTGGAATCAGTGACATCTGGGACGATTTGTTCATCAATTATTAATTAAAAGCCTACTATGTGCCAGACACCAAACAACTGCTAATCCTGTAACTGGCTAGGCCAAGTCATTCAATCGCTTCCAAGCCTTGTTTCCCGCATCTGCTAAATAGAAAATAACAGTACCTGCTGCACAGAACAGAGAAAGCTAAAGGAGAGGACTTACCTAAAGGGCTTGCAGTGGCCGGGACCCGGAAGTTGCTCAATAAACGATATCATAATCACTACACATCTTCTCTCCTACAAGTGACTTGGGGTTATCTAATTCACCTTTTCTGTTTTTCTGAACCTAATACACTCCTTGAGTGTTGAAGGTGCTAATAAACAGTCCTTGCGTTGAATTTAGGAACTTCCCTGCACCTCCCCAGTTTACTTACATCCACACCCCCCAAAACTGCAAGAGAAAATTAAACAAATGTTAAAAGATTGTGCATTACCTGGATAAAAATATACTACGTCTACACACCAGGTTATTGCAAAAGGGCCTTATCACACACCTTAGCTTTCCGATCTTTAGAAGTCCCCGCAGTTACTACACATGGAGCAATTTCACAGAAAAACTGCTAGATCATCACTTTTTTCCAAACTGGTCCCTCGTGTCAGCCCGGAGAGCGCACTGTTTCTGCACTTCCCCGGGCACACCGCCTCCCGCCTGCTTTTCCCTTCTGCGGGAAGCCAGTGGCCCATCTCGCAAGAGTTTGCTTTCACTGCTGCTACAAGCAAGGGAAAAACTATCCTTGAGGACGAGCAAAGGGGAGGCCAGGAACATTAACAAAAGCATGGGAACTTTTTACATGCAAAACCCGCGTGAGCGGTTTGCCTGGAAATCAACCGAAGTCGTGCATTCCTGCTCCTGACAGCCACCGGGGCCGGCAGCATTGTCCGGGGAGAAGCGCGCCGGCCCGGCCAACTTTTCCTTCAAGACCGAGCCATCCTCTTCGGAACAAAGTGAAAGGTCAGCGGGCGCAAGAGCGGCGCCGGGAGCGCACAGCCTCGCCTCGCTCGCGCCGCCAACTTGGCCGGCTCGCCCCACTTTCCCTTTTGTCCTCCGCCCCTTCCGCGGGGCTCCCGGCCGCGGCCCGGGGGCGGGGGGCGGGGGGCGCCGGCGGGGCGGGCGTGCGGGCGGGGCGGGCGGCGGCTCTCCTCGCCCGCGCCCCC